TGGATCGCGATTGGGTCGTGAAGAGTACAACTACATTAACCGTATTACGACACTAACGATTTCGTTTTAGAAGGGTATGTAGATACACTCCCCTCTCATTGCTTTACATCTTCATTGATAGATCTTGGGTGTTTCGTAGGAATTTTTTTGATTTTCATGCAACGTTACCAATCAACTGGCTCCAAAATGGGACCTTCAAGAAGGAAGCAAAGCAAAGCACCGCCATCATCCGCTAGAGCAAGGGTTTCCCCCCGGAGCCGAAGGAAGGTGGAAGGCAAGCTCACAACGACGTCCTCAACAGGGAAGCGGCGCCCGTAGGCGCCGCCATCACCATCTCCAGCCACAACCAGAGCAGGGCATTTGCCCCGAGCAGATCGCCCCCCTCCCCAGCATAGGCCGATACAACCTGAAGCCCGCTACTAGCCTGCAACTGCCACACCAGGCTGGGGACAGGATGTCGCCGCCACCACACCGCAGCCACTGCACCTCGTGGAGACGACAAACACGACCAAAGCAGAACCCCCGAAGGCCGCCCGTATACAACTATGCCCGGCCAGATCCGGCAGCCACCAGCATTCCCACGCCGAGATCCAAAGCATCATGCTCCATACGCCGAGCGCGCGCTGCCAAGGGGAAGGCCGGTGCTCCGCTAGGCCCAGCCACCACGCCGCCCGCACGGCCGCAGTAGCCGTCAGTCGCCACGAAGGCCGAGCCGCCGCCCGAGATCCAGAAAGCCGCCCGCGCCGCCATGAGCGGGAGATCCCCCACCACCGTCGTTCGCTACGCGGGCTTAGTCCGGCCACATCATTCGGCAGCGGCGAGGGGGGGGTAGACGAGGGGGTGGTGAGGATGCTAGCGCGGTTGATTCCACTCGAGCCACCGCTCGGAGACGGCGCGGGGGCATGAGGGGGACGAGGGTGTGGCGACACTGAAATTAAGGAGATAGCCCATTGGATGGTGGAGATGGATGAAGACCTAAGAGCATCTCCAGCCCTTCGGCCCCCCCCGGGCGCCGAAAAAGAGCGTCCTGGGGGTGCACCGGCGATAAAATCGGCGCTAGGGGCGGTTCGGCACCCAGCCATTGCCCCCAGGTCGCCCCCAGGCGCCGAATTCAGCCCAGCTTTCGGCCCAAATATGTCCAGAAACGGCCCGATAACTGCGTGAATCGGCCCGTACTCGGCTCGGTTCGGCGGGTTTCGGCGTGAATTTTCGCAAACAAATAAGAATCAATTAGCTCCTCACATAGTTCGGCGTATTTTCGGCTTGTTTCGTCACATAAATCAAATAGTTCACTACAAATTATATCGTTTAACAAATAAAAACTCAAGTTTCATCTCCATTCCCGGCCTCGCCCTTGAGCCTCCATAGGTGCTCCACCAGATCGTGTTACAGTTCTTGATGCACCTGTGGGTCTCGGATCTCCTTCGTGCACTTGAAGTAGCTGTCGAACTCCCGGATGGAATTCACAATCCGGAGGAAAAGCTTTCGGCTCATCCGATAACGGCGCCGAAATGTTTTCTCACCGTGCAATGGATCGTCGGCGAAGTAGTCCGAGTAGAGCATGCAGTAGCCTTCCAGACGATGTCGGTTCTTCGCTTTCACCCGCCCAAACGCTGAGCCACCTCGGCGCGGCTTCTCACTGCTCGCGAGCAGGCAGGCGAGGGCGGCGAGCACCATGAGATGCTCTTGCTCCTGGACGTCGACTTCGGCTTCCTCATCTAGCAACGCCGCGAGCGCCTCCTCATCTTCGGAGTCCATCGCTGGACCGGGCAATTCACCAAACACCTTGTGGGCGAGGTGGGCGCAAGCCCGCCGGCGTACAGGTCCTGCGCAGCCGGAGCGCCGGAAAAGGTGTCGGGGCAGCGGCGAAGAGGCTGCCTCGGCGACGCTCCTTCTTTTTCTAGGCTGGAGACTGTCTACCTAGCTGCGGCGGGCGGTGGTCGGCGCCGGGATCGGCAGGGTGGCGGAGGGTGGCGGCCGAGCGCGGGGGGCAGGAGGGCGAATCTGGGCGGGTGGATTGACTTTTCTCCTGTCAATGTGGCCCCAGGAACACTTTTCGCTTGCGCCCCCAGTGCGCCGGGTTCGGCCTGCGAGCGCCGGGCGCAAAAATGACTCGAGCCGACGGAATTCGACGTCCTAAGAACGCGCCTTGACCATTTTTTGGCGCCGGCGCAAATAAAACGCCTGGGAAGGTCTTCCCGAGGCGTGGCTGGAGATGCTCTGATATTAAGCCGCACGATCTGAACAACGAAGGGGCGCATCCTCTCACCTGACGTTGAATACCTGACATCACGGCCTCCTGGCCGGCTTAGCTCACCGAGTACGTCAGATCTTGGATGGGTCAGCGGCAGAAAGGGCAGCACGACGACACAAAATAAAATATCAATACTGCTCCACAAAATGAAAAACACATAGCGAGTACCGACGACGGATTGTCCCTTCGTCGCCGCCGTTGTGTTGTTAAGAAAATGGCAGTGCGAGCACTTAACCAGAGACCTGTAGAGGAGTGAGCATAATAAACGTTGCGGTTGGGTGTCAAACTAACACATGCATGAACTTTCACGTGGGACCGGCACGGTGGAAAATTACCACTGGAGAAGAAAGACACGCGCACTGAAGCTCAACGCGGGATGATTGACAGTGTATCTGGTCGAACTGAAATGGAACTGTCACCTAATTCTACCGCTTTTGCTGTCTTAGCTATTTGTTTATTAATTGTATTATAGTGTGACTTTTGTTTACCCTCCATAATTATTTTTGGCTATCTTTGACACTTCATTAGCCGTTATGTCTTGTGACATACTTATGCTTCTGCCTCTATTTCAAAATGTCAGACGTATTGTAGTTTAATTTGAACTACAAAAATGTCTTATACTTTGGTACTAAGGGATACATTTCATTATTTTCACTAGAACCGACAAGCGGAACCCAGTTGGCAAGAAACATGCATCAGTTGGATCTTAGCGAGTTATTTCAAAATATCTCGTTTTTTCATATCGAATCATGTAAAATTCTATAAAACGATGTCGATTATTGTGGCGGTCCTGTGTCATGTCAGATACATCCCTAGGAAGATATCTCTGACTTGTCTACCTAGACTAGACACCATCCTGATTTGTGGGTGCGAGTTGTCAGATTTTTCTATAGAGTATAAATAATGTTACAATGTCACTACCCTCCGTTCCTAAATATAACCTTTTTTAAAGATTTCAATATAAACTACAAACGGATGTATATAATTTCAATATGACCCTCCGTCCCTAAATATTTAAAAAGACTTATATTTAGGAACGGAGGGAGTAATAGGTAAATGTGGCAACAAACGACTATTAGTGGGTGGTTAGGACTCACAAGTCGTGTATCAGCGTCGAACGAAAACATTCCAATGATAGTGAGGTATCTCCGCAACTCTAGTCTTCAGATCAGTTAAAAAACTCTCTCCGGTTGACGACCTGAGTGTATCTTGTTATTTCTAGAGCAAAGATACAAGTTTTTTTTTTAAATGAAGCAACGTTATCACTAAGTCAAACAGAATAGGGTAATGAATGGATAAAATGCGCATGGCTTGCAGCCGTCCGTTGAAAACAAAAGATGTTCGATATCAAATGAATACTCTGTGCACTTGGAGCAGCGATTAAGACCTGCCATTAAGAATGTGTATTTTGTGAGATGGATAATTAGCAATGTATTAGGTCGTAATCGTGTGTTAGGACTCGTAACAATGAAAGCATACATGAGTAATAAAAACAGTCCGAAAGCATGGAATCCTTTTCACACGTTGTTATCATTGACTACTGAAAGCAACTCTTAGATGGAGCACAGCTGGATAGCTTCGGCGTTTAGAGTTTCTATTGGTAAATGTAAAGATGCACGAGAGACCAATCTAGTTGTCCGCCTGAATTTCTCATCTCTTTGTGCCTGCCTCGCTTAATGATTCTATCTGATCCTTCTCCACACTTTTCTTTTTAACAATTCTATCTGATCCTTCACAACACTTTTCATTTTAACAACTTGATGATTTTCCTTTCTGACCAACATATACTGTAATTCTGTATCTGCACACTACAAACTATAAGCAGAGGCATAGGCAGATGCAGCTGTGCTGTACAGCTGCCGGATCACCGGCGCAACTTACACACCTTACAAGGCCATATACATAACGCACGCCGTTGATCACCGGTGCAGGTACGCTGATCGATCGGCAGGCCAGGCAGGACGGCCAGATACAAAAATGTAGAAGGGAGAGAATCGACGGTGCGCGTCGATCAACAGATAATGCACGAGTTGGGGTCCTCCTCGGCGCTGTGAGCGAGGTGGTACAGGTGCGGGTGGTACGGCGGCGGCGGATACCAGTACGTCGGGTACTCCACCGGCTTGCCCGCGTCGTTCTTGTCGACGTCCTTCTTCTCCTCCTTGGCCGGGCCGACGGAGAAGATCTGCGCCGTGGGGAAGGGCTTGCTGCGCAGCCTGGCCACGACGGCGATGGGGTCGACGGTGCCGACGACCGTCATCTTCTGGTCCTTCATGTCCACGGCGATGTGGTCGATCCCTGAGGAAGTGAGGGTTGTTGTCGTGAGAACTAGTGTCAAATTCAGACATGGATGACCGCTAATTAATTTCCCCATGATCAAGAGGAAGCAGAGCATCCGGGGCACGGGCCGGACATCCGGCGCCTGCATGTGCGCAGCCCCGGGCCTGAGGGCCATGTATTCCTCTCTTCCTTACCCCTTCGTGGATTTGCCTATATACCCTGCTCTAGCTAGGGTTAGTAAATAGGATAGCTCATTCTTAAATGAGCTTTGAGAGAAACAGGGGATTACAACCGTGGAGCGCGGAGACCAGCTTGATGGCCTTCTGCTTCTGCCTATCGTCGTGCACGTCCAGCTTCAGCACAACCTGATTTCCGCAGCCATCAAAGAATAAAACGAGATCAGCAAAACGGACCATCTGCAATCAAAATCAGAAGAGAAATCCCAATTTGATCGACTGCAAGTAATCACCTTCATGGCGGCCATCGGTCCAAATGGCGAAACCAACAGAGATCGTTGGATTAGGAATGGTGGGACAGAATTGAGCGGCGCTCGGCGCTTCTGTCTGTCCCGGCGACGATCGAACCCTATGGTGTGCTGTGGAAGTGGCAGGAGTGACGGCGCGGGGGCGGGTCAATTTATAGGCAGGGGCCGTGGCAGTTACCAGCCTTGCGCACCAAGGTCTTGGACTCGGGCGTCTGTGGTGGGTGCGGCGCGGAGGCGGAGGCGGAGGCGGAGCCGTGTGCGCGTGGAGACGGAGCGGGATATGGCCGCGCGCGACGACCTGCCGGAGTCTTCGTGCACGTCCCTTGTCCGGTCAGATGTAATAGTCACTACTGCAACAGCGACGGCGCGTGGTTAGACACCGGCGGCCGCCAGCCATACATGGTCGGAG